TCACTCTTTCGGTTCTACCTAACTTTTTGATTTAGGACCTCGCCAAATGGCCCCGCTAATCATTTAATCTTTTCCCCAGTAGTTGGCGCTTCTTCCGCCTCAATACTGCAATTTATGACGGTCGCGCCGTCCTGAAAAGTTTCGTCCTCGCGAGGACTCGTAAAAAAAAAGGGAGGAAAAAAAAGATTGAGAAGCCCCCAAAAAAAAAGTTAACTCGTACCGTTCACGATAAAACGAAGCAATCCCGTGACGAAGGGACTTCGCGAAGGGTTGAGAGAATTTTTCCGTGTTCGGTTCGAAAAAAAAATCATATTCAGAGACCCGAGAGCGCCGGTTTCACGTGCGAACGGGAAAACGGTGAACTAGATAAGTTAAGATTCGACAGGGACGACGCGGGGAATCCCCCTGCTGCCTGAGTGTAACATAAATTATCATGGGCTGGGAAAACTTAAAAGCGGTAATAAACCAAACTACGTAGTTCGGAATTGGCGGCGCTAGTGACGCTGCGGTTATTTTAATTAATAGAAGGTGGAGCTGGAACAGACTGGCCAACCCTGTTACGTACTATGGACTTGTAATATATACTCTTTTAGCTATAATGCTCTTGATAGGTTATGCCTTGAACGTTGCCGGTAACGTTCCTCTTGTATTTTATCGAAAGCGACTCCGGCGTAGACGCCGTCCTAGGCAACGTCTTTTTTACGGGGCTGGAGGGTCGTTTCGGAGTTTGAAATAAAAAATATATGGAAACAGTTCATATCCGGCGTACGCCCATTAGATCTTCCTTCTAAATAATGTCTAAGTACTTTTCGATTGACGTTCAGACCCTTTAAATACAAATTTACCTTCACTCTACCTTTTACATACTTATCAGCCCGAGTAAACGTATATAGGATATTCATTACCTTAGAGTGGATCGATTACGAAACAGTATACGTATATATAGTATATAGTATATATACATGCATATAGTAAACTACGTACTAAAGCATATCCAGTATTTTTATGTTTACCTAAAAATCTTTTTATTTACCAGAAAGTGTACAAAAGATCAATTTCATATGACAGTTGGAAGAGCGAACGAAAAGTGTGAATAAAAAAAAATATATTCAAGTTTACACGAGGAAAAAAATAATTTTCTTCCCTTTTTTTTTTTTCATCGCTCAATCATATTCGTCGAGTCGACATAAATCCAAAACAGACACCCTTAACTTTAGATCCTCTCATAAAGCGACGGTGAGAATATCTTATCAGGATCCCAAAAGAATAATCCAAGATTAGACTCCTGTGAATAACATCAAGCACTGGTCCGTCCCATTTACATAAAAGGACTTGGGGAAACATTTGGCGACCAGAATTTATGTTATTTTTATAGGTTAGGTTCCAACCGTCATTTCGCACGTTCCAACACACGAAGTGAATTTTCGACAAGGAAAAATATATATATATATACCCGATATCGTCATCCTTCTACTTGGTGTTATTAATGTACAACCGATTCAACAGTTCGTTCGCCTTTACTCCGTTCAAGTAATTGGCATGATTCGCGGACGATTTCGTCCGGCTTATGGCCGATTCGTGTTTCCAACGTTGCGGTTGCGGCGACGGCTGTACGTGCGGAGATATCACGGGCTGTTGACTCCAAATGCCAAATCCAGTAATTGGGGTCAGCACCGTCATCCACTCGTTTCACTATCCCTTGGAAACTATGAAAGACACATGTCCTTCTATGGTTAGAGACTGTGGGAATTGAAAATTCAAAATGAAATTCTTACACCGCGACCCTATTTTTCGAATTACCGTTTTTTGACCGTATATACATATATATATATATATAATGCACTTCGATTATGAGAAAAATTCCCAATACAAGTCAAAAACCTAATAACCCTATATTGACTATTAATTAAATTCCCAAAAAAATTTACGATCGATCTACAATTTTATATCCAGCTTTCCTCTGGAGCCAAGAAGAAATACAGACGACGTATTATGCCCAAGGGATAAAAAAATTTTTGTAATAGCATTGATCGTCCACTATCAAGAAAGGTAACGCTAAAGGAGTCAATCCTGAGCGAATGAACGATAAGGAATTGCCATCTTGGAAGAGGCTGAATTCAGTTCCGAAAGTTTTGGTCCCTTACGTCGATCGTGCCGAAAACCAGGGATGAGTTTTACTTTACTCTTCTTTTACTTCTTTACTCCGTTACTCTACTTTCTCTTCCCCTCTTGTCCTCTCTCTCTCGCGCCATCCATCGCAAAACTGAAAGCACTCAATATTACTAGATGACGGGACGAATCGAGTCGCAATAAGTTTTCCTCGTTTCCCTGATGAATTTAGAGAAAACGCAAACTTGACTCCGGCAGTTCTGCATTCACTTCTTCCATTTAGTTTTCTCTTTGATCACAGTAGCACAGGGCCCCCGCCCAGCCACCCCATGATTTCTTTCAATTCCTCGCACGGCTGCTGCTCACTTACGGCAACTTCTAATTATCAGCAATTCAGCAACGAGCCAAACAGAAGTTCCATTGGTTCTCTAGTGCTGTGATTACTAGTAAAAGCACATAAGAGAGAATTCAAATCAAACCCTAAATGAACTACGACCTTTGAAACCCCTTTTAGTTATTATTATGGATCCCCTTTTATATTGGCTTTTTATTTACCCTACAATAAATTCTGCTCACGTGCAATTTCGAATAAAGGTTGTACGTGCGTATATATGTACTGTGGTCCCCCAAAGCTCCAAATGATTAGGCAATTTAATGTACAGACTGTTTGTATATCAAAGATAACAATAGACTTTTCGATAATACAGGGTAAAATTTTTTTTTTTTTTTTTCATCGCTTTCTTATCAGTTGACGATTTTTCTGATGATTTAGTTGACGTAATTTATCCAATATTAATTATTTGCTTATTACCATTACATCATTTCGTCCAAGTATGGATGTCCTTTGTCGCTTCAATGTGGACGCACACTAACCCCACGCTAACTGGCAGTCCTTCACTCTCTAATTAATGAGGTCCCCGGGAGTTCCGATCGATGAGAACACACGTACATACTCTATTCAACATCCGTTGTATATAACGAGCCTGGTCTACGTATTTACTGAACGAATTGTAAATCGGCCTTAATTGGTGACGTCGAAAGCTTCTGGAGTAACGGCTATTCTTATCGACCAAGTCGATCCTTACGTCGCGTACCGATGGAGTTTCGTCTTGAAATAATTCGGGTTAAAGAATTTTTTTTGAAAACAAAAAAATATTAGGAAAAACCTTATAAACGTAAAATTGAAAATTTGTACATTTTTTGTTTTCGAGTGTTTATAAATTCCATAAATACTTGTGGAGTACGGTACGTATTCTCGAAATCACCGTTCGAGCAAGATATATTTGATTTTCATTAAGAAAAATCGGTTCCGCGAATCGAACGCCAGTTGTGTCCGGCGATACTAGAAAATGGTATTATTGATCTGTTAGTAGCCGCGATGCGTCAAACAGTCGGTGCACAGAAGCGTGCACCGAGTCTGCATTTACAACCGCACCAATTGCAGCGCGCCGTTTCGTTCGTATTGTCATTCTATATATTTTATTCGTCCGTAGTCTCTTTTACGTTTTTTTTTGTTTTTTTTTTTCGATTATTGTCTTTGTTTTTTATTTTAACGTGACGCCCTCCCCCCTATCGATGGAGTAGTCGACGGTGGCGCCGCGCGGTTCATCATCGAAGTACGAAAAACGTACGGAACGAATTCACGAATTCATACCGTGTAAACCTATTTGCCTACAACGAAATGCAATAAACGTTAATGCTCCGAGGCGACAACCCGTTAATTGCACTTTTGCCCGCTGCTAGCGGCGACTGGCGCGGTTTTTCAAATGCATTTTTCGGTTCGCAACCCCCACGCCCTATGGTTTTCGACCCACCTTCGACGCTGCTGGACTTTCTCGGTTGCGTGATCGAAAATTGTAAATCGTGCACGTGACCACGTAGATCCTTTCACGAATTCAATTATTTGGTAATAACTAACGCACTCAACAAGGGTGGGGGATGAAACGTTATTTCCGGTCAGGAAGTATTTAACTGGCTACAAGAAAACGAATGGGTTGAACGACGGAGTTCCTTGCTGCAATACCTTGAGGGGATGTTATCAAGATTTTTTTTATTGATATCATTTCTTTTTTTTTTTTTTCGTAATCACATTTTAAGTGTACGTAAGGATGGGATTTTTTGTTTTTTTTTTTCTTCACACAAAATCATAGGTGTCACTTATCCTGCCATCTGGCGGAGAAGAGACAAACTGTTGCGAGTTTTCAAAATCGTCGTCGAGATGGCGCTACGTACGTTTCCGTGACTCTTCTCCATTGAACGCCAAGTCTCGTTTCGTGTCGTTTCTCTTGGGTCTCGTGAAATTTATACAGAGAGCAACGATCACTATTTACCTATTGTTACCGAGTGTTTTCAGCTGAAACGCAGTGCAGCCGTTGCACGCTATCGTTTCAAAAATGTCGACGATTTATACGCTGACATAAAATTCTACAGAGATCGATCCCAAGGGTAAATAATGAAATCTTTTATTTTCATACCTTATAAAAAATCAAAAGTAACCCGTATATCTGATACTTAATAAAAGCCAGTTTAAAGAAAGTCAGTCAAAAATAAAATTGTGAAAATCTCAAATTCACATTTTGTTTTCTACTTCCTATTTCGATATTTCGCGTTATTCGATATCGATCCACTAAACCGGAATATTTCATTGCACTTTCGAATTTCACCTAAATCCCATAGAAATCTACTGCAGGGAAATTCACTGCTCTCGGCACAAGGATTCTACATATGAAATTCTGAATGCGGCAAATGGTTATAGATACTCTCGTAATAGACATTATATATATATATATATATATATATATATATATGTCCATTGAATCGTACACGATCTTAAAGTTCTTAGAACAATAACGTCTGATAAGATAACAATAGAATCAAGTGGCCATAATTGGAAGCATCCTTGACACTGGGCGCAGACGCAAAAGCATCCTTCCAGTAAGTTCCTTCCGTTTAGCTGTCGAGCTCAATAGGTCCTCGAAGATCCACTTCTGGACAGGTGGATCGCTGGCTAAGGAGGTTAGGTAGTTCCCTGAGCATCAGTGTAACCGTATCTGACAACATTCGCTTTCTTACTTTTCCGTACCACGGCGACACTTCCGCCAAGAAGACTTCTTGGCCGTAGAAAGTTACGGATTCGTAACTCTCCAGTCCTATACATGTTTTTCCTTTCACGTGATATCAGGATTATCAAAAAATGAAGTCTTTCCGTAAGACACAAAAAAATGACCTTGTTCCATCGGCAAAATATATTTTTCGTACATTATGCCTCGATGATATCGGTAATACCTAAAAATAAAAAAAAAAAAAAAAAAAAAAAAAAAAAAAAAAAAAAAAAAAAAAAAAAAAAAAAAAAAAAAAAAAAAAAAAATGTCAAAAATGATACCTTTATTATAAGATACCTTTATATATAAGAATGAAATATACCCCGGACTACATAATTTATTGTCGTATTGAAGCCAAGTGCTCGGGGATCTCAGATTTGTCATAGCGATCGAAGGTCTGGAGAGCCAATAAAAAAAAAAAAGAGAGAAAGACATTCAGAAAAGGATTCTGAATAGAAACCCATCCCGAGACCCTTTCATAATTCGAACTGACCGTCCCAAGTGGAACGTCCAGTCAGCGTTATCCGAAATCTTATTCCCCGTGAGTGTAACGCGTTGAAGATTTGAAAAGAAGAAGAAAAAAAAGGAACGACCATGTCAGTTACGTTACACTCTATTCACATATACAAAAACGCACGTGTGGCTTGGTAACGTGAAAAAATCCACGAAGCTAGCTCAGAGCTGTTATTTACGAAAATGAAAATATTATCAATACTTTTATCTTTTGGAAAAAAAAATTGTTTCTCAAAAATCCTCATGCATCCCCATACAATAATCCTTATAAATTTCCACGTGCAAAAAATTTCACCAGAAAGATCCCATACCGCCACACACGTACTACGTAAAATCCGTTCTGCAATATTTTCCACGATTTACGGGCGTCATTCGAATCCGATATTTTAAAATCCACAAAATCTTCGAAATTCCTTAATATTTCATATACGTGTAGGCTCGGTAGTTTAATCACGAGCGTATAAAAAATTGAGGTCTTGTGTGCCCCTGGCCTATCCGAGATACCCTTAATCATCGGCATCGCCACCGTCGTCCTGTCCTCAGCCCCACCCTATCCCCCCCCTTTACCACCCCCCTCCTACCGACGCCATAAAGCGACGCGTTATAAATTATCATGCCATCCGCGAAAACAATCTCTCCTTCGGGCCCTTTTCATCGGAATAAAAGTGTACCAAAGTCTCATAGGGGGTGGCGGCAAGGGGGGAGTGAAGAGGTGGGGGGAGGGGCGAGCAAACGCTCTCTCGTGGGCGTTTCGAAAATTTATTGGGTTTTACTGTCCTAAATGTAAAATTAAACCGATCGAGAATTTACTGTGCCAAGGGTAGCGCCGGTGGGCTGAAACATTTTTCACCCTTAACGCTCCGCAGTACGACGATCGGTTCCGATACCACTCTCGTTCCTCGTCCGTCTGTCCCTTTTCCACTGTTCCCAGTAAAAAAAAAAAAGTGTTTCCGCGAAATCCACCACCAAAAAGACTCAGACAGTTTTTTTTTTCCACCCTTGGCGGCAGATCGCGTGCCTGACGATAAATTCATTTTATAGGTCCTCTTCTTCCTTTCTTTATTTCTTTACAACCCTCCGACTCTCCCCCCCTTCGTTCCACCTATCACCCAGTTTGTCGTTAGCGGAAGAAATCTTCTTATGGAAACAAATTATCATAAAAATCACATGTATGTATGTGTATAGGTATATATATAGGTATATATATATACTTGATATAGATATGAATTTATATATAGATATATTGTCATAGTAGCATATATTTCGAATCGACGTCCCTTACAGAGCCTTGTTCGCCGACGCCCGGCGTCGCGACGCGGTTTATTATTGCCCTCGCGACTCACGTTTACGAGGGCTCGAAGCAGATAAAAGGACTATAAAATGAAACATTAGAAAAATCCTCCCTTCGTCCGTGACAATGAACCCCCTAGTGATTTCACGTCGATACGACGTTGCCATTTTCTTTAGCTCCCACACACACGCGCCATCCGTAAAAATCTCGAGAATATCCATTAAGTAAAAATTACTATCCCGGACGATACGTATTTTTCAATGGATTCCTCAGCGGTTGGCCCATCGCCCGGAAGTCGCCGGTAGAAATTTACCGCGAGCCCCATGGATTTCCGGTAGCCCTAGTGATCGATACGTACTGTGTAAAAGACATTGCGGATACACTCACTGTGAAATTTTTTTTTTGTAATATGCTACGCCGTTTGACAGCAGGGACTATGAAATTTGATAAAATGATTCCAGGATGATTTTGAAAAAAAAAAAAAAAAAAAAAAAAAAAAAAAAAAAAAAAAAAAAAAAAAAAAATTTCATCGTGACTTATCCAAATTACGAATTCCCGTTAGCGTGGGGCGACGGGAGATTTCTAAGAGTCCAATAAGCACCAGTGCTTAGAAGCTAAGCCGATGAGGATTGCCAGTGGCGTATTATCAATCAATTTAATTAATGACCCGAGTCTCTGGTCCCGTAACCACCGCGCATGCGTACAAACAAGGGTGCATATATTTTTTTTCATCCAGCAATTCGATTAGCATTGTTTGCTCATGCACGGTGTCTGCAGACCATGTAAGTAGAGACAGTGCCTTCCCCAAAATGCACTAAGGAGTTAATGCGAAAGGGGAAAGAAAAAAAGTAGAAAGCGGTAATTCACGTAATTTAAATGGATAACGAATTCGCGCGCTTTATCCCCATAAAATCCTGAGAAATAAGTCGTTAGTCGGACATGTTAATCCTGGACATCATTAAAGCGGGGGTTCTCTCATCACTGGGCTTGCAGGTTGGGTTAGGTAACTACAGAGACCGGCTTACCCGTTCACGGTGCCCCGGCAGTCCGTATACTTACACCAGACCCCAGAAGAGCCCCGACGCTTTCGTGACTTTTTCCCCTAATCAATCAAGTTATTCCATCTTCAAAAGGCGCGCCTTGTCGTTTTCCTTTTTTTTTGCGAAAGCCTCTAATCTATTTTAAATCATAAGAAAACCATTAAGTAAATTACAACGTCTTCTGGAGCGAGCCAAAAAACCGAATTAATTATCTTACCCGACAATCCCTTCCTGGTCGATTTAGGACCGGGGGGGAGGCAGGAGGGTATACCATAGCCATGATCCACGACAATAATAGGAAAATTGCTGACGTATCAATCCACCCTTCCCTTCGCCGACATACTGACTATACCTATATAGGCACCTTATCGCGCCTCATTCATGCAAAACTTTTGCAGTATCGAGATAAGAAAAAAAAGGCATCAATTATTCAAGACCGATCGATGGGCCCAAAAATTGGGCCAGTCGATTGTAACGCTGCGTCGACAGACGCCAAACCTTCTGGAACGATCAGTCGTCTGCTTCTTGCCAGCCTTGGGTACTTGTCCGACATCTTCGATTTTTCCTACCCCTCTTTTTATTTTGGATGGTTTCTTTTTCAACCCCTCTTCTTCTCACACTCTCCTAATGCCCAATACGTTTCGGCTACCTAGCTTCCTCGCTTGGATTCCTTTTTTTTTTTTCTTAGAATTTTCTCTTACGATTTCTCGTCGATTTTCTACCATTCTCTTGTAACTTTTTCTTCTTTTTCATTCTCCGCCTCGTTTTCTCTTTTTCTTTTTTCTTTTCTTCGCCAACAGCGACACGTCGTTGTCGCGTCGTTTGCTGATCTCGCAACGATTCGCAAACATCACGGGGACCTGTAGTCATGAACTAGAAGGAAAAAGTTTAAATACCAACTATAACGTATCGAGAAAAAAAAGGAGCACTGAATCGTTCCTGCCTTCGGGAAAGGAACTCAAAATTATTTATCCTTCGCGAAACTCCTAAGAGTATATTGGAAAGTATCCTTCTGCAATCGCGATCCTTCCACTGTGACAAGCACGTATATAATTGAATATAAAAATCACGCGATACATTGGCGGACGAAAATAATTACTGATAACGACGATCAATTAGAATATTTTAAAAGTTAAATAACATATCGAAAAAAAAAAAAAAAATGAGCGCAGCGACACGTCGTTGTCGCGTCGTTTGCTGATCTCGCAACGATTCGCAAACATCACGGGGACCTGTAGTCATGAACTAGAAGGAAAAAGTTTAAATACCAACTATAACGTATCGAGAAAAAAAAGGAGCACTGAATCGTTCCTGCCTTCGGGAAAGGAACTCAAAATTATTTATCCTTCGCGAAACTCCGAAGAGTATATTGGAAAGTATCCTTGTGCAATCGCGATCCTTCCACTGTGACAAGCACGTATATAATTGAATATAAAAATCACGCGATACATTGGCGGACGAAAATAATTACTGATAACGACGATCAATTAGAATATTTTAAAAGTTAAATAACATATCGAAAAAAAAAAAATGAGCGCTGAATCGTTCCAGCCTTCGGGAAAGGAACTCTAAATTATTTATCCTTCGTGAAACTCCTAAGAGTATATTGGAAAGTATCCTCGTGCAATCGCGATCCATATTCATGATTTTAATTCGCTAATTAGTCAAAGCTAATTGCCAAAATTGCATATCTGTCTAGTAAGAAAAAAAAAATGAACATACCGACTTCGTAGGAGTAACAAGGAGAAGATTTCTTCGTCCTGGTAAGAGAAGAAAATATATTTTATTCTATTCAATTCTTTTTGTCTTCTCTTTCGTATCTGCCGCCAAGCGAGAAGACCGGCTCGTTGTTTTTCTCCAGGGGTGAAATATGGCTCGCTCTCAGGAATACATTTGCCGCATTTTTTTTCCTCTTCTTTTTTTCTTTCATTTTCACGAATAAGTGTGTGTACGCTTTCCTTTGTGAGAACTCTCCACGGGGTATATGGAGACGGAGCTTGGCACTGCCATTGGGTTGGGTATAAGCAAAGAAGCGAACGACGGTGCTGCCACGGTCCCACCTATCGCAAGTGTGCGGAAACGAAATGAGAATGAGACTGGAGAAAACGCGAGGGTAGGAAAAGGGTGCCCACGAGGGGTGCAAAACGGCTACCTCGGTTTCCTGCTTGCTCGTGTGTTCGGTGTCTACGTGAGAGTGGACCGTCATTCGTTCACGTTGTCTCTAACTATTATTCGAATTTGTCATCGGAATAACAAAAATACGGGGGAATCCCCGTGAAACACGGAGAAACGAACCTTTCGCCAGGAGCGTAATGGCAAATGTTTTTCTCCCCTTTCGGGCGGCGCTGATTTCACAAAAGAACAATTGATTGTCGTACTATCGCGAAACGCTGAATATTATTGTTATTATATTCTTTATCACTCCACGCCATGCGAATCTATCGATGGAAAGCAGGTCGTCGTGGCGAATTATGATAAGTTTATTTTTTTTACGAACTTGAAATCTCCACTAAAAACGGCTGACTGACGTATTTCGTTTTGTACTACCTTATCTGTAAATAACGTATCGATTGGCATACTACTTGTCATATGCTAGCTGGTTAGTCACAGTTTAATGAATCCACGATAATCAATACTATCGCCTATGTCTATATTTAAGAGAATTTAACAACAGTCAAAGAATTTTTTCTTTGGTATTTTTTTGTCATTTTTTTTTTAACGTCATAACCAACAATTTTCGATAACAATTGGTCGACGATCCGGTCAGTCGCAAGGGGTCGCGAGTGTAAATTTAATTGAAAATAAATATCCGTCGTTAATTTCGACCTAATAGAGAAAAATTGGAGATTCGTCTTATCGGGCGATCATCACGTAACGTAATTTTGAAGATGGTCCATAAGAATTCTTGACTATTTGAAACTTCTCCCGTTACCATTTCGCCACCCTATAGAGCCTCAAAATATAAATAAAACAAGCCGTCTCGTCCGTACTAAAGCGTCGGTCAGCCTGCCAAGTCGCCTTTATCCAATAAGTTGGCATTTCCGTAACGACCTCACGAAGCCAGTCATCCCCACAGAGTGGTGTCCCACGTGTATTAGCGCATGTTAAAAAAAAAAAGAAAAAGAAAAATATATCCCTGTAAATCGTCGAACGCGCTTCACTTCCGTAAAAAGGGAATAGCGGAATAATGGTAGCGGAAAATGGGGTTGGATTGCTGTATTGCTGGCTGGCTGGTTGACTAGCTGGACAGACCGAGGGAGGGGGGTACGTCCATTTGCAATGGGGTGGAAGGAGGGGGACGGTGGAGCTCGAGGCGCAGTGCGTGCCGGATGGTTATTGTTTGCTGGCAGAGAAGCGAAAGAGGGTGGAAGGGGTTGAGTGACGTGTGAATACACACTGGCATACCCATACGCACCCCCAATCGCATACTTCCTTCTTACCCTCATTTCATTCATCTACCCCTGCCACCCTTATCCAACGAGCGTTTACATACCCTCTCTCTCTTACACCCTCTGAACGTGACACTGTCACTCTCTGCCCACCTCTCGTTACATCCCTAAAACCACACAGGGAAAAATCTGACACTGAACTCATTGGAGACCGGCTGAGAAGCGTTCTGAAAAATGATATACGTATCCCCATTTTCATTTGCCAGCGTCATTACGTATAACGAATGGGACAGTTTTGTCCTCTATCAATAGTTAACGATGAAACAAATGGCACGCTACTTATCTCATACGAGTGTTACCTTAATATATGGAAAACAAAAATTTTATTTTTTTATTTTTTCTATTACTTTGGATTATTATCCAGCAATCATGTAATTTTCTCTTGCGCCCTGCGACCAGTCGTATCGATTGTACGTACGGTGTGTGTGCTTATGGTATAGCTAAATTCGATACTGACCACGTAGCCCGTAAGGAAAAGTTTATTTATTTATTAGATAAAGGGAAGCCGCCCGTCTCGAATCACCACATAACCAAGTAATGGGCTAACCCGAGATCTTTTTACGGCAGGGAGACCTGATAGTTTTCGCTGCCTTTTCGGTAAATCTTCCGGTGAGCAAGAGAGCAAAAGAGCGAAGGAGTCCTAACCCCATTCTCACTGGATGGATCAAGACGGTTTTGGTGGTGGGGTCACGTTCTTGATCTTCCTTCTCTCTCTCTCTCTCTCTCTCTCAGTGCGTGATCTGGGGTCGAAGGACCCTTCTGGCTTGGCCTCTGGTACCTTTTTAAAGGGACGATTAAGTCCGGCCATATTCCATTTCTTATCGACCTACCCCTGGACCATTTGCTCAACCCCATCCTGGCATTGATGTCCACTACGCTTCTTCGTTGCTTGTGGTCGGCTCCGTAGGGAGCCCAGAGGGTTGCTCTATGACCGAGCCCAGCGAGGAACAAAGTGGACCAAAGGGTGGCGAAATCGAGATTAAAGGGCTCGGCTCTATAGAACGGTGGTCGGGTACCGCCGAGTTGCGTATCGATGATATCGCCTTTCCCTCTCTGAAGTACCGAACCTAACCCGAAATTACGAAATAAGCGTTCGTCAAAGGAACCACCCCCCCGTCGATTTAGCCGAATATTATCGCCGGGCATTGCTTTTGAATGCACCCTTAATATTCAATCTCCATGTTCATTCGGTTAAAATCATGAGTTTACAAAATTTTATTATACCCTTGTATACCGACGCTTCGCGTAACCACGTTCTTCCGTGCTCTAATCCGTATGAACCCTTGAAGATTTTTTTAGCGGATTACCTGAATTACGAGAAGAAAATTTTTTTTTAACTCCGACGGGCTTCAGTTTACGCGCGAACGGTCCACCGGAAATTGCGGACCATCCTTCAACCGCGGAGAGCAAGTGACGTCCTGGCCGATAAACCGATCAATAACTTTTCCAATCTATTAACCTTTAACGACTGTCATAAGTTACCGAGCGTTAATGCTCCTGTCGATGCAGACGCGAGAAAAATATGGTCAAGGAAATCGTACAGCTTTGTCAATGGGAACGCCACCGCGTGTTTGTTATCTCTCGGTGAATTTTGGAATTAAAATATTCATTCTTTTAATCACAGTCGCACCAAGACATTGCGAAATAAATTTCTTCCAAAGGGTACAATTTTTCGGATTTAACCCCATCAGGGGATCTAATTTTTATATTGTATGATCGATTTTCGAAAATCCACCGTATTCCTACATCTATGTAAGGAGCACCGAAACACGGGTTATCCTTTCTCGCGCATATTGCTTTGTTTCACCCTAGAAATTAACAAGGCGTACAGATATCGCGATAGAAGGAGCAGCGTGGTGGCAATTTCGAAAATGCTTCTGCTCACGAGATCCCATTCGATTTGTGAAATTATCCGAGAGTAAGTTCGCCCTAATATTTTTTTTTTCCACATACGTACACTCACATCTCCCGCGAAGCACAGACTATCTCTCGCGCCTGAGGATCCCTCGTAAAAATCAATATCCCTGTGAGAAATTTCACTCGATCGGAAAAACAAAGAATCGCTACCTATTTGCTCCCTATCTCTTTTTTCTTCCTTCCTCCTATTCTCACATTTCCTTTCGCGTTTTCGTAGAATCGCGCGGTCGTCCAACCACCGAAAATGTCGTTCACCGAAATTATCAGGACGCGCGCTACACGGCTACCATGACTTATGGGCCGGTTTGAAAATTAAATTTATACCCAAAAAATAATACGGAAATGGCAAGGTATACGGTTAAAAAAAAAATGTAAAGTAGCTATGACGTAATTACCTATTACGCGCTACCTATTTGCTCCTGTCTCTTTTTTCTTCCTTCCTCCTGATCTCAAATTTCTTTTCCCGTTTTCGAAGAATCGCGCGCGCTCGTCCACCCACCGAAAAAATCGTTCACCCAAAATTGCCAGGACGCGCGGTACACCGCTACCATGACTTATGAGCTGGTTTGAAAATTAAATTTATACCAAAAAAATAATACGAAAATGACGAGGTATACCGTTAAGAAAAAGTTAAGTAGCTATGACGTAACTACCTATTACGCGCAAAAGCGAAGATCAAACTACAGTACCAACTAATTAGTAACGGTCATCCACCGTTTGAGGTAACGCCACGTGGTTTTCAAAAAAAATAAAAAATGGATCTCGCATATAAAAAAAT